TCTAATTACTGCTTTTTATTTGGCCCTGTTCAAACTAACTGGCTATTTTTTCAGGTGACTTGTATAACCCTAGGAAGTCTCCATGTATTCTGTTGATGTTTGCATTTCAGTATTGGCAAGGATGTAGATTCATCCCATCCGGTGGATTAATTGGAATGTTAAATTATTCTCCAGACTGAGATCTGGAAATCCGCCATTTGTACCTCTACCCAAGCCAGGTGCCTGCTTGTCTGTGCTGTCTGTCTTCAAGCCTCCGGCCCGGCCCTGCGGGGTCACTCTCTCTTTTCCTTTGCATTAACTCTTCCAGAATCTGAGATTTATGAACCATTGCAGTCTGGCCCGGTGGGTAAGGGTTGCTCTGCTCCCTGATAGGTTCAGTGGTTCAAACCCACTAGCTATGGGTCGCTATGAATCGGAATCAGCTTCATGGCTATGGGTTTGGGTTTCTGTTTTTGCCAACACTGATTCTCAAGACATTTATCAGTGGTTAACCTACATACAGCAGAAGTTCTACACTCTAACAGATGTGAATTTGCAATGGCAATATGTATTTGATGCCCTTTATAAATCCTTAAGTTTGTTTATTTTCACAACGTAAGCTTTGTTTACATGTCTATATGAAGCAGTCCTGGCAGTAGAAAACATGTCTTATGTATGTATATGAATATGTATGTATGTATCTATATAGAGATTTATTTCCAAACCATTTTATTAGGAGCTAATCCAATCCTTAGTTCAATCACATCAAGTAATATTGTACAATTGCTACCAAAATCAGTTTTAAAACACTATCTTTCTCCTTGAACTTTTTGAGTTCAGCTCCCTTTTACCTCCCCCTGCACGTTGTTTCCATAGGTTCATCAATCCTGGGTTTCACACACCAGAAAACAGAAAAAAAACACAACATAGCAACAATTGAAGAAGGCCACTCACAATGACAAAATGCAACAGAAACCCCAGATGGAAACAGCACACACACAGAACATAGCAACCAGCTCAAGCCCAAAGTGTATCAGAGGGGAGATCAAGTGATAAAAGGCTTTAACCACTCAAGTCTGATTTAGATGGCTTGATAGGAAACTTATTTTTCTTGTATTCCTATGCTAAGGAATCAGGGTGGCATTGAGAGAGGGCTGCCTGCTATGCCTGATAACCCCAAGCACTCACGGAATTTATAGTGTGATCAGAGACGTAAAGCCAACACAGAAAACACGGTTTTATGAATCTATGTTGAAAGTTGTTGATAAGAGTTCAGAAGTACTCACCAAGGAAAGTTGTGTCACCTGCATATCACAGGTTAATAAGGATAGCATATTAATATGAAGTCATTTCAGTCATATATTCTCCTAAGTGCCTTTCACTGGGACAGAGTAATAGCCAGACTTTAACTGATGGTATACAATGAAAAAAGGACTGAGTTGGATTTAATATGGAAGCAGTCGACCGGCTTCTAGAGGAGGTCAGGTGGCATTAAGCATGTATGTATACATAGCAGTCCTGACGTAGTTCAGTAGAGACTCCGGGAGAACAGCATATAGTTTCCAAGAACCAACTTATAACAAACAGATCCTAAGGCAGTCTCTTTTTTTTCTTTAACTAATCATTTTATTGGGGGCTCCTACAGCTCTTATAACATTCCATACATCAATTGTATCAAGCATATTTGTACATATGTTGCCATCATTTTCTAAACATTAGTTTCTATTTGAGCCCTTGGTATCAGCTTCCCTTTTTTGCCCTTCCTCCCCCACCCTCCCACCTTTGTGAACCCTTCATAAATTATTGTGCTAGTTACATAATCTGTTGTCAATTTGAGTATTAAGAGCGAAGGGGTGGAGTTTAGTCTGTCAATCAGGTCACAGCTTGATGACCTTATTTGGAGCTGCTAAGGAGAGAAATAGCTCCCTGGAGGCAGGATACAGACTCACTCCCTGAGAGATACTCTACTGACAAGACACCCGGAGCTACTGTGATAGAGCCTGTGCCCTGGGAGTTGGAGAAGCCACGTGGAGACCCCTGCCAGTGCTGAGATGTTTACAGCACCACTGGATCCACGAGACTTTTTCACCCACTGGTCTGTGATTTTCCTGCATTTGGCATCATTGCATGTGTTTCGTGAATCTGAAGAGGGTTTTCTAGATTGGTATTGGATATGTGGGCTAATATCGGACTTACGGACTTGATCTGGAGTGTGCTGGGATGTTTCCTTATGTACAATTACTCTTTATGTAAAGGTCTTATACACACATGAGCCTCCGTGGATTTGTTTCTCTAGTCTACCCAGACTGCATCGGTCTTTATGATCGGTTCCCCCTTCCTCTCCTCCTCTCCTGGTATCACTATTCCCATTTCTGTTCCGGAGGGGTTTATCTGACCTGGATTCCCTTGTCGTGAGCTCTTATCTGTACCAGGGTACATGCTCCAGTCTAACCAGAACTGAAAGGCAAGACTGGAGTCATGATGGGGGTGGGTCGGTCTGGAAGCCTTGAAGAACCAAAGGAATATTGTATTTTACCAGTGCTACACTGCACCCTGGTTGACTCATCCCTTCCTTGTAACCCTTCTGTGACAGGATGTCCTATTGTGTACAGATGGGTTTGGGTCTCTGCTCTGAGCCTCCTGGTTTTCAACAATGTGTTATTTTTTTGTTTTGAGTCTTCTGATGCCTGTTACCCGTTCCTGTCAACACATAATGATTACACAGACTGGTGTGCTTCTTCCATGTGGGCTTATTGCTTCTCTGCTAAATGGCCGCTTGTTTATCTTCAAGCCTTAAAGACCCCAGACACTGTATCTTTTGATACCCGGCACCATCAGCTTTCTTCACCACATTTGATTATGCATCCATTTTGTCTTCAGTTGTGTAGGGAGGGTGAGCATCACAGAATGCTGAGGCAATCATTTTTGTAAAAATAAAGACACTCAACTGTCAAATTCAATTAATGTGATTCTAAATTGCCCATTTAGTTTGTGCTTAATTTCCAAGTTTGTTTTGGTATTACATTTGTGGAAGACTGCTAATCACAAGAATACTGTGCTTTTTAAAAGGAAATAGAGGAAAAAACTAGGAGGCAAAGGGCATTTATAGACGTCTAAATATATGCATGTACATATGTAAATATATAATAGGGAAATAGATCTATGACCAGATAATATATGTTAAGTATCAAGGTAGCAGACAGATATTGGGCCTCTACTCGAGTACTCCCTCAATGCAAGACCACTTTGTTGTAATAACTTGGCATTCTTTGATGCTCACCTTCCCAACACGATCACGGAAGACAAAATGGATGCATAAGCAAATGTGGTGAAGAAAGATGATGGTGCCTGGCTATCAGAAGATATAGATAGCATCAGGGGTCTTAAAGGCTTGAAGATAAACAAGTGGCCAGCTAGCTGAGAAGCAACAAAGCCCACATGGAAGAA